GCTTCTAAACGCAAATGCGCATAAACGTGCATAAACGCAGTATGCAACCGCGGCTAAACAGATGTTTTTTAACCTACGTTTTCCAGTCAGTTTCCATTGTTCAGAAGTGTTTTCCAAATGTCCCGTGTACATGAACCCTTATCACAGTATCACGGAATAGATTTTGTTGACCATTATTTTCCAGGGCGCACAGCTGGGAATTTGCCATGCTGCAACTGAAGTAAAATGATTTGCTCTCAAAAGATAGGGTCATGTCCCTTAAAACATTTGTCTGTAAAACACTAATTGCTCCCTGTCTTGACATGCCCTGTAACTGTCCCCACTTAACTCTTTAAGTGACTTTATCCAAGTAGAAAGTAATTTATGTATAATTTCCCTTCTCTAAAAGTTCAGTGTACTCTTATATGCTCCACTGTACAAATGCACAGTCATTTTAATCCTAATGCAAAAAATACTTGAAGAATGCAAACAAAAAAGCGAAATAAGAGTAAAATTGGAAAAAATAGTAAGAAGAAAAAGTTCCAAAATGGTATTGAATATATAGAGATCTACTTATAAAAAATTGTCTTAAGATGTACAGGTATGTAGTGCTACAGAAGATTATAGATCTTGCAGACAGCGTTGTTTTATGGCATCACATATTTTACATGTGTAATAGATTATTTTATTTTTACAATACTATTTGGCTTAAAGTGATACTAAAAGTTCCGATTAAAAAAAAAAAAGACAAACTTGTTATACTTACCTGCTCTGTGCAATGGCTTTGCCCAGAGTAGCCCCAGTTCTCCTATTCTTGGGTCCCCCGTCGGCATCCCGATCCTCCCCTCTGCTAAGTGCCCCTAGAGCAAGCAGCCACAGGCTAAGCTGCCTTTAGTGTGTGGCATATCACTGTATACTAGTGCACAACTTTTAAACTATATATTTATATATACAACTTTTTAAATGTATATATTTTTATTCTACTTTACTTTTAAAGCATCTTAAAGGGTATAATGGGTTAATTGCAGGATAAGCCTGCCAGCTCAGACATGGCTCTCACAGATGTGATGATGACAACAAGGAGTTCACTTTCACTTTGCATTATCTGCACGTTTCTCTGATATGAAAAGGCTCTTAAATTTGGCCTCTGCTGCATGTTAGGGCTCTTTTGATTATGTGGAGGGTATTGATAGCATAATGGAAATGGTGGACACTGAAGCTTTAAGGGAGTTGGAAGTCTCGCTAAAGCAACCCGATAAAAGAAAAGAATAATTAACACATACAGCAGAGTTTTACAGTAGATCATATCATACATTTTCTTATTGAAACCATCAAATAAAACCAACCAATAGAAAGGATGAATTGTAAAAAATCCACAGAAAATAGCCAGAAATATTGTCAATGCACAGTATTGTAAGCAGCTACTGTATAATAGGCTGAAATTTCAAATGGGAGGGATGAGGCATCTCTTATCAAAAAATACAAATTAGAGTGTAATATTTCACAAACTATAGCTGGAAAATGTATTGTTAAAGTTTTATTAAAAGTATGCAAGCAAGTATAATAGGCCACAACTAAAGAGGCAGAGACAATTCAGGTATTATTGTGAAATAAAAATTTGCATTATTTCAGAGAAAATAGGCAGAAATATTATACAGACTCAATGAACACTACCGAAGCATCTTTAGGCCAAAATATAAGAAGGAAATAACAGACAGGTTTTATCAAGTACTAAAATTTGAGTGTATTATTACACAAACAATAGCCAAAAATATAGCAAAGATATGAGGAACGCTATCTAAGCAGTCTCAGTGGACCGGAGTATAAGAGGGAAATAGCAGGTAGGTTTATAAGCTAAAAATTAGAGTGTATTATTTCACACATAGCCAGACATATTGTGCAGTTGATATACAGTACATAAGCAGCTTTATTAGGCTGCAATTTACAAGACATAGACTAGACAGGTTTTATCAAGGAATACAAATATTAGTGTATTATTTCAGAGACAATAGCCAGAAATACTGTTCATCTCCATGAAAACTTTGTAAGCAGCTTTAGTAGGCTGTAGTTTAAGAGGGAGACCCATTTGGCATGGGAGGTCTGCGTTAAGAATAAGAGGCCAGCCAGGTTTTAATCTATAAATCAAAATTTGAATGCATTAAATTGCACAAAAAATGCCATGAAAATTCTGCACACTATGTCGGTTGAGAGGTGAATCATGCTCCTCTATGAAGAAATATATGTCACCGATGCCGCTTGCTCCCCACCATTAACAATATGAAGATGCCACGCTCTGATGACGAAGCACGTCAAGTGGAACTTTCAGTGTGTCACCTCCAGTTAATCATGGAACACAAGCCATGTGGCCCGCGGTTCCCATGCGAACGGAAGGGTGATAGTGCACAGTTTTTTGCCTCATATTTGTATCTATGAATGTATGTATATATATATATATATATATATATATATATATATATATATATTATGTGAAACACTTTTATTCTATTAAATCCTATGGTTTTACGCTATGAAAAGATCCTCTTTCTTTTTTGGTATACACACCATTTCATCACCATTGAAGTACCATTTAACCAGTTGGAAAAGAGGTGACAACAGAGAGAGTTGTCGAATAAGAAGGTCCTGGGGTGACCACAAAGTGCTATATGACTTTTCTTGTATAACAAGGAGGTCAATGACATCTAGTGAGAAAGAGTGTTTCTAATCATTGGTGGTGAATCACTTGCAAGTGGGAACTGTGGATTCTCATCACTTTACATGGATTTTCTGACTATTGTATGTTGAATCCTATGGAATATTTATGATTTGGGACTTTTGCACTTGTATATGGACACTTTTTATCAAATTGGTTGCACGCATTAGTTTGTATTATTATGTCTTTATGATCAAAATTGTTTTCATGGTGGGAAGCAAGTGACATCGGTGACATATTTCTTCATATCTTTTGGGATGAGAGGTGGCAGCTGCTAAAATTCACTTTGTTACTTGTTCATCGGCACAGTTGGTTATTGGATATATGCTCCTCTATGAAGCTACTTCCTCTGGGAGTGGAAACTAAGGAATAGCTGGTGTTCCACCTGGGAACCCCTCACGGAGATTTGGACTTAGCAGCTGGCTACCCCCAGGTCATTCAACGCATAGAGGCACATAATGGTGGGTACTACCAAAAAAAAGAGCTGGAGTGTGAGAGAAGCATATGGTACAGCATAGCTGGAAGCAGGGAGTTCTAAAGCTGCAGGTGCAGAGGTACAGCAGAGGCCTGAGTCTGTGGGTGCAGAGATGGTGCAATGGAGATTCAGACTGTGGACACAGCATATACTGGGGGTGTAGAGATGCCTAATGGAGAAGACACAGACTGTGAATCCAGCAGAGACTGCAGGTACAGCAGAGGCTGAGGCTGTGGATGCAGCAGAAGTCTGCCTGTGTGTGCAGCATAGACTGGAAGTGCAGAGATGTTGCATAGCGGAGGTGCAGGTTGTGAATACCAGGTGTAGAGGAGGGTGCAAATGCAGTGGAGGTGCAATAGAGGCTGCAGATGCAGCTAAAATGCAGCAGAGACTGCAGGTGCAGCAAAGACTATAGATGCAGCAGAGGAGTAGTGGAGGCTGCGGGTGTGGTGGAGACTGCTGGTATAGCTGAGGTTATTGCTGTAATGCTGAGGTGTATACTGGCTTTGTCTAAGGCTAAAAATGCTGAAGCTACTATTGGCTTCAATAGTTTAGGGGAGCATACCTAACTCCTTGTTTGAGCAGTGACACAGTGTCCTGCTTGAGATCAAAAGGGAAACCCAGTACACAAGTACATCAAATGACTGGGCATATGATGCCACTGTGGCATGCTAGGTAAAATTCAGAAGTGACTGTGGCTACGTGAAAGTGATGGGACCCCAGTAATGGTTTGCAGAAGGTAACGGTAGCATAAGTGGCTTCAGTAGGTCCCAGTTTAAGAGAGAGTGACTAGACAGGTTTTAATTCAGCAATCAAAATTTAAGGACAACTTTCATAACATGTTACGTTCATATTCAGGGTGTAACATGTTGCAAACGGACAGGCCCCCGCACCCCCCTGCTCACTATTGTGACAGCTAGAGGGGGATCTTCTCCTCCCTGATAGCTGTCACAATTTAAAAAAAAGTGGCCGCATCACTCATTTACTGTGTTCTGTGAATGAGAACGCTACAAGTTACGAAAGCCTTTGTGGCTGTTGGCTTGTAGTTGTCAATGCACTACCATGGCACTGTGGAGCACCGTGGTAGTTCATTGAGCCTTCCTGTCAGTAAGTATCTGCCTGCCCGTATGGGATGCACGAGTAAGCAGGTACACTGACAAGTCAGAGGGAGACCTGCATGACACCAGTGATCTGCTGATCACTGGTGCAATGTTTTAGAGGCCTCAGAAACTAAAAATAATAAATGCATATTTTTTTTACCTGCAAAATGTGCATTTATTATTTTTTGTTAAAAGGTGAACTTATCCTTTAAAATGTACTATATTACAGAAAAAAATTTAACTGACTCCATTCTCTGGCCCCGGTCAGTCCTATGGTAAGGCAGCAGAACCTCTGGCTTCAGTCCTGGGCTCCCCGGTGGGACAGAAGAGCCAAGGAAGGCATCAGGGAGCAGTGGGTGAAAAGGGGAGCACCTCCTGCTGCTTGCTATTTAGCTGCTAGGATTGCTTTCAAAAGAAAAGAGCATTGCCAGCTAAAAAAACAATAACGGGATGAAGCCTGTGGCTACGTACCAGTATGTCGCTGGGTCTGAAGTGGTTAAAATTTAGCTGTATGTTTTCATGACATTACCATGGCCCATCACCAAAGAAAAACCTGCAAAATAAATTCTCCTACTCCTGAAGATCATGGAGACACCACATACACTATATTGCCAAAAGTATTGGGACACCCCTCCAAATCATTGGATTCAGGTGTTACAATCACCTCCATGGCCACAGGTGTATAAAATCAATGCCCCTAGGCATGCAGACTACTTCTACAAACATTTGTGAAAGAATGGGTCCCTCTCAGGAGCTCAGTGAATTCAAGCTTGGTAACGTGATAGGTTGCCACCTGTGTAATAAGTCCATCCGTGAGATTTCCTTGCTACTAAATATTCCACAGTCAACTGTTAGTGGGATTATAACAAAGTGGAAGCAACTGGGAACAACAGCCATGAAGTGGTAGGCCATATAAAATGACAGAGCGGGGGTCAGCGCAAGCTGAAGTGCACAGTGCGCAGAAGTCGCCAACTGTCTGCAGAGTCAATAGCTAAAGACCTCCAAACTTCATGTGACCTTCAGATTAGCACAGCAGCAGTGCATAGAGAGCTTCATGGAATGGGTTTCCATGGCTGAGCAGCTGCATCCAAGCCTTACATCACCAAGTGCAATGCAAAGTGTCAGATGCTGTGGTAGATTTACTAAAACTGGAGCACTCAGAATCTGGTGTAGCTGTGCATGGTAGCCAATCAGCTTCTTACTTCAGCTTGTTCATCAGTTTTAGTAAATCTCCCCCTAACTTGCTTATACTGACACTAACACTGACACTCACTAAACTAGATCAAGTCCTGATGTCGTTCGTTTTTATTCATTTTTTTCAACAGACTTTTTTTTTTTTTTACAAACTTTTCCTCTACAATGTATCTTTTCTTCTTCACAGAGGAGAAACAACATTGGGGAAGGTTGTTTTAAGATACTCTCTGGTCTGCAAAGAGCACATGAACCAATATGTCACCTCTGGGTCAGGTTTTTGGTGACTCAAAAGTTTAGCTGATTATTCAATCCTGGGTATGCCATTGTTGACATATGAGGTGTTGCCTGTTATGTATTTGTGTCAGATGTCTCACACCTCCTGAATGCTTAAAGCTGATCAGGCAATCTTGCAAACTGTCACAAGTAGGCCCACCTATTCCTCCTGTATTGAGTTGTACTCAGGGGAGGACTGACCATTTGGAAACTCGAGCACTGCCCAAGGGTCCGGGGTCAGTAGGGGGCCCCATGAGATGCCCCTGGTACCTTTTCATAGGCTTTTTTGAGTTTGGGCAAGGACACAGGGGCCCCATAATCCCCTATTGCCCGGTGGCCCCATGAGTTGTCAGTCTGCCCCTGGTTGTACTATAACTGAAGTGTCTCCCTTTGCTTTGTAAAGCATTGCATATACTGTTGGCGATATATAAATCCTGAATAATAATAATTATTACAGTTACATGCACAGATGAAATTCATAGAAGATAGCTGTTTTATGTACCAAAGCATTTTGTATTTCTGCAGAGGCGTCCCTAGTGTTGGTGTCACCAGGTATGGTAACACATGGTGTCACCCCTCCAGAGAGGAAGGAGCGGTGCCGGTGAAACAGTAAAATGAGTATACCGACCCGTGAAGATATGTATCCCCTGAAGCAACTGAACATGTGCCGGTTTCAGGCCGATCTTCGACTTTAGCACAGAGCTCCCACAGTTAACCCCTTACAGGCTGCAAACTGCTGAAGCTGATCCTGTGGATCACTATGGGTTGCAAGATCAGTTAACCCCGTATAGGTTGAACCGGGATCAGCTTCAGCGATTTGCAGCCTGTAAGGGGTTAACTGTGGCAGCTCTGTGCTAAAGTCAGAGATCGGCGGTCGGCTTCTTCGGCCTGAAACTGGCACATGCGCAGTTGCTTCAGGGGATACATATCATCACGGGTCCGGGATACTCATTTTACTGCTAAACACCGGGGGCAGCTATCACTGTGTAGGGAATCCGGGATCACCCCAATAACTGGCCAGGACCTTCACAGAGCCCAGAAGCTCTGCTGTAATCCTGCTCCTGCACCCCTGTGATGGTGTCACCCGGTGTAGCCTGCACCCCCCTAGGGACGCCACTGTATTTCTGAATCTCTTACAGCACAGAATGTCACACAGCACTATCCTGCTAAGTAGGGGAGGAGACAAGATCTTTGCTGCAGTTTCACCTTTACTTACAGGTCTTCTCCCCTCCCTACCCAGTGAAGGGACAATGAAAGAAGAAGCAGCACGTGGATAGGCTGATCACACTGCCACTTTGCATTTTTCTCCTCCCAGCATGCAATGTGCACTACAACACACTTGATCAGTTCTTTGTGCTGCTTCTCCCTACTTCTTTATTAACAACAAAAACAAAAATGTATTAACCTCTTCCCGTCCACCCAGTAATACTGCTACAGGGCTGCATGGGTGCACAAAATCACGCATATATACGTGATTTTGCAATTAAACAATACAGTTCTCTTCCTTGTGAGCTCCTGCACACTGATTTACATGGCTCTGCATAGCAGAGCCATGCAAAGCAGTGTGCTTGCAGTGTAAAGCACACACACAGTACACAGTAAAACAGCACACAGGTAACCCTTTGATCGACCCACATGTTAACCCCTTCCTGGTCAGTGCCATTAATACAGTGTCAGTGCTTTTTATTAGCACTGATCACTGTATTGGTGTCACTGGGGATGTCAGTGACACCAAGTCAGTTCCCCCCAGTGTCGGAATGCCCGCTGCAGTTATCTGTGGGGAAAAAAAGGATGTCAATTTTATTTAGGTACAGCATTATATGACCATGCAATTGTCAGTTAAAGTAACGCAGAGCCGTATCGCAAAAAATGGCCTGGTCAGGAAGGGGGGGGGGGGGGGGGTTGGTAAATCCTCTGCAGGGCAAGTGGTTAATGAGTATAAAGCTTTTTAGATCTGCTTTGTTGTGTACCTGGCAGGGAAGCCTGATGAGATGAGGATTACACTTGTTACACCTCCAGCTCAGGGCTCTTGATAGAGTGGACAGGTATCGCAAGGGCAAAGAGTCGCTTAATTGTCTTGTTGGTCTGCTTAATGCTGGCACAGGTGAATGGAAGCCACTGGTCAGGTCCATGATGTGTAGACTTCCCATGAAGGATGAAAGGCAAGGGAACAGTAATTGGAGCAGCAGATGTGATAGATGAATACCGGAGCAGCCGACTGGTGAGCAGGCAGCTGCGTAGTGAGTGGAACTGCAGGCAAGTAAGCAGAAGAAATACAGGAGCTCAGGTGAGGTTTGATGTCAGCCAGGCCGGGTCAGCAGCTGGCAAGATGATCAAGTACGAAATCAGTAGCAGATGAAAGGTCATGGTCAGGAACGATAGACCAGTAAGCAGTTTGTAGCCTCTGTATGAGTTTCTGTGCACAGCCATGGGTCAACATCCTGTACTTCACATGCATTTAGGAAACACGCACATGCTCAGACATGTGCGCTTCTGGATCATGCACATATGTGTGCACATCCTGCTCACCAATGTTGGCGCCAGGTGGGCTTCTTAAGCTGAGCCAGTGCTCTGTCTCAGTGCTGTCCATTCTACAGAATTCCTGTGCAAACTGCAACCTCTTGCTCTGCATCTGATTCCAATTACTGACTTGGCTTGTCTTAACCATTCCTGGAACTCCACCTGCACTGACTCCGGTTTGTCTTCTGACCTCCACTTCTCCCTGCTCCCTTTGCCTCTGTACTTCTGACCAGTTGCCAACTCCGGCCTGTACCCTGACTACGCTCCTGTCTATGCACGTGTACCCAATCCATCTGCCAGTTCCTAACCAGGCTTGCCTGACTCTGTTCCTGCCTACCCATTGCTGGGCTGCTCACTACAACCACCTGCTTACTACATGTCAGTGCCTGCTTATCCTCTGCCTGCTACAATCCTGTGCCTCGCCTGTCTGCTGTTGCTAGTGCCAAACATCTCCTGCCCTCGGCCAATCTGCTACCACTAGCTCATCTGCTCAGCTGTGGTCTGCTTCCTGCTGCTCAACCTGGACATCTTACCTGGCTCACTGCTAGCAAGACCAACAGGCACGAGTGCCTGTGTCACCTCTTTACTCTATCAGTGGCCCAAAGCCAGAGGTGTAAGAGAGGCCTTCCTCAGCACATCAGGCTTTTCCACCAGGTATGACAGTCAGGTTCCAAACTGGGGTCAATATCAGGCAAGCAGATATAGAGGAAGAGGAACAGGCAGAAGTATGGTCGTGGTGCAAGCTGAGGTCAATACAGGTGGATAGCAAGAGCAGGTCAGGACAAGTGGGGTCAGTATCAGGAAGCCAATCGGGAAATACTGGACACAGGTAACAAGTACTGTAAAGCAAGAGGAGCAGGTGGATGCATGGTCATGGTGCAAGCTGAGGTCAGTACTAGACAGCTATATCCAAGCCTGAGTGTTGAACCTCTACCCTAGACAAACTTTGCCAACACCTGGAGGCCCTTACACAAGCAGTCAAGAATCTGCAAGAAGGATATGTGCAGCTTGAGGAATGCATCCATACACTTTCTGCACCTTCCACGGCTACTGAATCAGCTTCTTCTTCTGCCAGAATCCAGAGTGCCAACCCTTGCAAGGTTTTCCAGTGACTGCAAGAAATTTAGAACCTTCCACAATGCCTGCCAACTCTACTTTGCATTACAACCCCATACCTTCTTGCTGGAATCAACTAAAGTGGGATTTGTTACCTCCCTGTTACAAGGTGAATCCCAGTCATGTGTCCATCATCTACTGGAACAAAAGAATCCTACTTTATCAACCTTAACTACATTCCTCAATGCCATGGTGCAGCTCTGTGAGGATCCATACGGACTGCCACTGCAGAAGCTACCCTCCATGCACTTCAGCAAGGCCGCAGAGCGGCCAAGGACTATGTAAAAGACTTTAGATGCTGGAACTCTGACACCAGTTGGAATGATGCGGTCCTCCATTACCAGTTCCAGTATGGTGTCTCAGAATCTCTGAAGGACAAATTAACTCGGGTCGAGTTATGGATTTCCTGGAAACCTTAATAAACCTGGCTATTCCGATCGATCACTGGCTTAGGGAATGCATATCAGACAAATCCACTGGCCAACCTGTATGGATGCAACCACGGGTCACCATTTCTCCAAACCCAGCTTCTTCAGCTCCAGCTGTGCTAGCTCCTGATGCTCTACAACAAATGTAGCTAGGCCTGTTTTGTCCTTCACACCTCGCCTGTACCTTATCCGTCTGCCAGTTTCTGACCCAGCTTGCCTGACTCTGCTTCTGCCTACTCTTTGCTGGGCTGCTCACTACAAGCACCTTCTTACTACCTTATCCTCTGCCTGCCACCAACCTGCACCTCACCTGCCTGCTGTCACCAGTGCCAGTCAGCTCCTGCCCTCAGCCCATCTACTGCCACTAGCTCATCTGCTCCTCTGTGGTCTACGGTCGGCTACCTACTGCTCGGTCTGGATACACTACCCTGCTAGCAAGACATACAGGCAGTTGTGCCATTCTGCACTCCTGCAGCACCTGTATACTCTATCAGGGGCCCTGAGCCAGAGATGTAAGCTATGCATT